TTGTTTTGGTTCAATGGAAAGGAAATGAGATAGAATATAGAAACCTGGAGAGTAAAAAGTTTGGTTAGTCACTGAACTTATCACTTTGTCACGTTGTGGTCACTCAACTTCATCTTACTTCTCAACGGTGACTGAACTTTCGGACGACTTCCTCCATCCATCACCCACCATCTCCACCGTTTGAAAACGTCTCACGTGGCTGGACGGCGGCTGAAATGGCAGTCGACGGCGTGAATAATGCCATGTTGGATGCGATTTCTTCCCGTAAAACACGACATTTCTCCCCCAATTCGTAATCCATGAAACCATTTATCCCCAATTGCAACTCAAAAAACGCCCTAGATCGATTTCACGCAACACCCTCCCCCAAATCGATTCCATCACACTTGGCGATTGACAAAATTACGCTTATTCTCCGATGGTGGCGATTCCAATTGCAGTTGCATGCCCTTTAGGGTCTCCAGATTTGACGCTCTTTTGGGCTCTTTGGTGGTGTCAATTTCCAAACCTGGGGAGCAGTTTTGTGATTTCAAGTCACAAGTTGAATCTGATTTATACAGATAGCTTTGTTGTGAGTTTGTAGAAAAAGGTTATGTGGGGTCGATATTGGTTTGGAGGTTCATTCAAAGCTTACAGGGCTGCGAAAATTCATCTCATTTCTTTTAATATTTGGAATTGGTCTACTGGCAGCTTGATTTCCCGTCCTGTAGATATGGTTTCCATAATTGTAGCAGTAGATAGGAATTGTCTTGAATTTGTGAAACTCCATATTGTTTGCCTATGTTTATTTTGGAGCCTTCAAAATTATTTGATGGCAGGGTGGAGCTAATGCTGGGCACACTATTTATAACTCAGAAGGCAAAAAAAGTTTGCACTTCACCCAGTTCCTTCTGGAATTCTGAACGAGGAAACTGTCTGTGTGATTGGTAATGGAGTTGTGGTGAACTGGAAAGGATAATGTGCTCAAAAGAGATTGGCAACTGAAGCCGCAGAACGAGGTAGCAATGATAATATCACTGTTATTGTGATATTCTTGTGTCCAGTATCTACAGCCAAGAGGATTTACTAAATTCTGAGCACAATTCGCCCGAAGCAAATTTCTTGTGTTAGGAAATGGAAACATGGCGATTCTTTGTAGAATTAATGATACACATTCAGAAATGTATTCATTGTTTTGTCATTGATTTGCTACATTGTAATAAGATTCAAAGCATTATTCAGTTTATTAGCCTGTTTAAGTTGGATTCATATTGTTGGTTCGTTATATGAATTTTTTTCCTGACTTTATTCAATTTATTGATCTACTAGAATGTAGATTATTAGCAACTACAATGTTAGTATTGTTTGAAAGAAAAAATATTATGTTAGTTTTGTTTACTAATTAGTGGCAATGTGCTTAAAGATGAGAAAAAACAAAAAAGAATCTACCCCTATAGGGACCAATTTTTCGTTCTCATCAATGGCTAGAACAGAAGCACCTCTGGCAAGAGCAAGCTTTGTTGCAGAAATTCCAGATTTTCCTAGACCTATAATCTACAATTGAAGCACAGTTGGAAGAAAAAGGCCTCTCCCCCTCAGCTTCTAAAACAGAAGGCAGACCCTCAGCACATACACAAATTAAAAAAAAAAAGCACAAAAAGTGCCCAGTTAATCAAACACCAGCAATATGATGCAAGAACAATGGAACCGTATATGAACACACACAAATATATATTTGCCCAATTCATCAAACACTGCGATTCTCCCATAGTTTCGAGAATGTACACAGCACCACTACAAAAGATCTGCCATAATGGCTCCTTACAATTCCATTCACGAGCATAACCAAAAATCGTTTCCTAGCTCGTTACATCACAAAAGAGACCATGCCATCCAATTCACTATTCAGAGAAAAAAAAACATCAAAAACAGCCACAACATGCCCTTCAACAATGTCGGCATGGTCATGATCAACGTACAATAAATGAGGGGGGCTCTTCCATTTGTATCCTTGTAACTTCCTTTTATAATTATCCAATCGGCATTAATTCCATACCCTTCAGGAGGTTCCCAAAGAGGGTGTCTGAGATCATCCTCGAAGACAGCCAGTATGTAACGGCATAGCCTGGGAACAGGTTCAAATTCTTCAGGTGTAGCGAGGCCCCATGTCTCAGTATCGTGGCCTTCCAGAAATCAAAACCAAAATCATCAATTCCATTTCCATAATTGCAAATCGAAAATTTCCTTCTTCTTCAACAGATTAATAGTTAAAACTGCAAACTAAAGCTGTAATAATCAGAATCAAGCTCAACAGTTGAAGAATCGAAAGTGCACTGAACTTCATTTTCTTGTAATCATCCGGCAAATCTTCATCTTGAAACGGGTCGTCTTCATCGATTTCACTTCCTTTACCTAAACTACAATTTCTGCAGGACAAGACCTGAAGTAAATCCAGATAAAATCAAGGGAACATTAGCCACAATGGATATATGATTTTGTGCAGGTTCAACCGAAGGTTTTGGAGTGATTTAGGGCTCGTTCAACGTCGCGTATTCGGAGGTGGAGGGAGGCAGTTAGGGTAAAACGAAATTTAGGGATCGTTTTCGAAGGGATTTGGGTGGGATTTGGAATGGGGGATTTGGAATTGGGGATTCCTCCCTCAAATTGAACGGATTAAAGGCGAGACCGGTAGTTTTTGGTGGAATGCGGTCTAACGTGGCAAGAAATTGACGCCGTCTCTTGCCAATTCGGATGCCGTCGAGCCAGGTAGGAAACGGGATGCTGGTGGTGAGGGAAGGAGGAAACGGTCTCCAAGTTCAGTGACCGATGGGCAGCATATCAAAGTTGAGTCACCACAAGGTGACAAAGTTCCAAGTTTAGTGATTAATGAAACTTTTTACTCGAAAGCTGGGGCTTCTAAAAGGCATTGATCTTTCTGGCAATATGTTTGTTGGAACTATTCCTCAAGAACTTTCTGATATGAGGGGTTTAATTTTCTTAAACTTATCGAGAAACCATTTGACGGGAAACATTATTTCA